AGTTTCTTCTTCTGCTATCTTTGTCCCAGAAGGATACCCACCAAATATCATTCTGAGCTCTCCTTTATGAGGTGACTTTGGATATATGAGGTTCAGGGAGCTGCTTGAGGAGACAGTCTGTCCTTTATAGGAGCTTAAGTGCTGAGCTGTTATCTCTATCGCTCATTTAGAGCTGCTGGGCAGGTATGTTTAAGTCTGCTGCAGCAGAACTCATAAATCCCTTTTTTTTTCCCCAGGTGCTCTGTCCCAGGTAGTTAGGGCTTTAGGGCTTTATTTATGAGTTTCCCTTGTGCTGCTGCCTTTTTATCAGGGCTGCCATGCCCAGCGAGGAGACAGCCTAATCACTGTCTGCTTGCAGTGGCTTTGCTGAGCTGCTGTGGGCTCCACCCAGCTGCCATGTGAACTTCCCTGCAGTCCTGTTTATACGGGCATAGTTAGAACTGCCTCGGCAATGGTGGCCCACCTCTGTAATGGTGGACTTTCTCTGTAGTGGCGGGTTGCCTTGGCAATGACAGGCTGCCTCAGCAATGGCGGGCTGCCTCAGCAAAGGCAGATTACCTCCATAGTGGTGGAGTGCCTCAGTAATGGTGGATGCCCCTCCCCCAACAGAGCTGGACCTTCCTGGGTTCAGCTGTGCTTGCTGTGAAACTCTCCACCTGAAGCATTTCCAATTGCTGTTTTTTTGTGGGGGTCGAATCAGCCGAGCCTGATCACCTGGCTCCCTGACTGAGAGCCTTTTTTTTTTTAGTTGAATGGTCAACTCTCTCCCAGATGTTTCAGTCACCTGTTGCAAAGGCCCTGAGATCTGTGTGATTTCCCATGTGGTGACCCACTGTGCCAGCTGAAACAGCGGCGCTGAGATTCATGGCTTTTTTTTGCCCGGGAATCTCCTAGCCTGGCTTCCTGTTTCAGTCCCCTTTTTAATCAGATGAATGGGAGACTCTGCCTTCCCGGAGCTCCAGTCGCTAGCTAAAATGGTTCCCGGGCCCATGTATTTTGTACGGAGAACCACCGCCCCAGGGCACCGGCAAAGCAGCCGTGCCAGCCATACCAGCCGTGCTGACAATCCGCTGGGCTCCTCCACCTGGGAATCTCCTGGTCTGTGGGCAATACAAATCCGTCTGGAAATGCGGCATCCACTCACCCTCTGCGCTTTCACTGGGAGCTGCAATCCTGAGCTGCTCCTTATCGGCCATCTTAGTTCCCTTCTTTGTCTCTTTTGATGGTTTGAAGTCCATTTTATCGGAGATTAGGATTGCAACCCTGCATTTTTTTTGTTCTCCATTTGCTTGGTAAATCTTCTTCCATCCCTTTATTTTGAGTCTATGTGTGTTTTTTTATGTGAGATGGGTTTCCTGAATACGGTACACCAATAAGTCTTGACTTTTTATCCAGTTTGCCAGTCTGTGTCTTTTGATTGGGGCTTTTAGGCCGTTTACATTCTGTATTAATATTGTTATGTGTGAATTTCATCCTGCCATTTTGTTACTGGCTGGTTTTCTTTCCCATTAGTTGACTCATTTTCTTCATTGCATTTTTGGTCTTTGCCAACTGGTTTGCTTTTGCAGTGGCTGGTACTTGTTCCTTTCAGTGCTTAGTGTTTCTTTCAGGAGCTCTTGTAGGGCAGGTCTGGTGGTGACAATATCTCTCAGCAATTGCTTGTCTGCAAAGAATATTATTTCTCCTTCACTTAAGAAGCTTATTTTGGCTGGATATGAAATTCTGGGTTGCAAGTTCTTTTCCTTAAGAATGTTGAATATTGGCCTCCACTCTCTTCTGGCTTATAGGGTTTCTTCCGAGAGATCTGTGAGTCTGATTGGCTTCCCTCTTTGGGTAACGTGACCTTTCTCTCTGGCTGCCCTTAGCATTTTTTCCTTCATTTCAACCCTAGTGAAGCTGATGATTATGTGCCTTGGGGTTGCTCTTCTTGAGGAATATCTTTGTGGAGTTCTCTGTGTTTCTTGAATTTGAATGTAGGACTGCCTTGCTAGGCTTGGGAAGTTCTCCTGCTTAATATCCTGGAGCATGTTTTCCATCTTGGATTCATTCTCCCCATCATATTCAGGTATACCGATCAAGCGTAGATTAGGTCTCTTCACATAATCCCATATTTCTTGGAGGCTTTGTTCACTTCTTTTCACTCTTTTTTCTCTTGTTTTGTCTTCTCTTTTTATTTCTTTTAGTTGATCTTTGATCTCTGATATCCTTTCTTCTGCTTGATCGATTCGGCTGGTAAAACTTGTGTTTGCTTCTTGTAGTTCTCATACTGTGTTTTTCAACTCCATCCAGTCGTTTATGTCCTTCTCTCTGCTGGTTATTCTAGTTAGCATTTCATATAATTTGAAACTTTTTTCAAATTTTCTCCCACTCTGCAGATTGTCTCTTCACTCCGTAGATAGCTTCCTTTGCTGTGCTAAAGCTCCTTATTTTAATTAGTTTCCCTTTGTCAGTTTTTGCTTTTGTTGCAGTTGCTTTTGGCGTCTTTATCATGAAACCTTTGCATGCTCCTATGTCCAGATGGTGTTACCTCGGTTGTCTTCCGGGATTTTTATCGTTTGGGGTTTTACATTTAAGTCTTTGATCTGTCTTGAGTTAATGTTTATACATTGTGTAAGCAAGAGGTCCAGTTTCAGTCTTTTGCATGACTTCCCAGTTATCTGAGCACCATTTAAAGCAGGGAATCCTTTCCCCATTGCTTGTTTTTGTCAGATTTGTCAAAGATCAAATAGTTGTAAGTCTGTGGTTCTCTATTATGTTCCATTGGCCTATGTGTCTGTTTTTTGCTACCAGAACCATGCTGTTCTGGTTACTGTAGGCATGTAATGTAGTTCAAAGTTGGGCAGCATGATGCCTCCAGATATGTTCTTTTTGCTTAGGATTGCTTTGGCTATTCAGTTTCTTTTTTTGGTTTCATACAAATTTTAAAATCATTTTTACCAGAGAAATGTTTCATAGTTTTCTGTGTAGGGATCTTAAACATCTTCTGTTGTATTTATTCCTAGGCATTGATTTTTTATGGTGCTATAAATAGCATCTTTTATTATTTTCTAACTTGATATTGCCGGTTATATAGAAATATTAATTTTTACTATTGACCTTATATCCAACAACTTTGTTGACTGATTTTAAGAATATATCTGTGATATTTTTGAATTAATCACATAAACACTCATAACTATGAATAATGACAGTTTTTTCATCCTTTTCAGCCTTTATACCTTTTAGATCTTTTACTTGCTTTATTGCATTAACTTAGACCTCAAATAGAGTGTTGAGTAAATGTCATAAGAATTTATCCTTATGTGATTCCTAATTTCCAAGGGAAAGTTTTCAACATTTTCACCCATAAGTAACATGTTTGTTGTGTATTTTACATAAGCATTTTTTATAATAACAATGTTCCCTTCTAGTCTTACTTTGCTAAGGGTTTATCATGAATATATCTTGAATTTCATCAGATGCTTTTTAAAAATAACTTTTGAGATGATCATATTTTTAATCATTTTATCTGAGTTTATTTTCTATTTTTTTATTTTCTGGGCTTATCTTTATGTCCTTCACTTGGCTTTCTTTGGATTTAATGTTTTTCTAACTTCTTGGAATGCGTTTGAAACTTCAGCCTTTTTCTCTAGTATATGCAATTAAAGCTACAGATTTTAAGCAAGGTTTTGAGGTATCTATCACATTTTCACTATTGTTCGCTTCAAAATATTTTAAAATTTGTTTTGTAATTCCTCCTGAGATCTGTGGGCTATTCATAGTGGTTTATTTATTTATTTATTTTTTGAGATGGAGTCTTGCTTTGTTGCCCAGGCTGTAGGGTGGTATGCAATCACAGCTCACTGCAGCCTCAAACTCCTAGGCTCAAGTGATTCTCCTGCTTTGGCCTTCCAAAGCAGTGAGATCACAGGCATGAGCCACCATGCCTGGCCAAAAGTGATTTCTAAACTTCCAGATGTATAAAAATTTTCCCGTTTATTTTTTTGGTTCTTGATTGTGCTGTTGTCAGATAACATACTGTCTTTGGCCCCAGTCCTTAATTATTGAGACTTTCTTTTACCAGCAAATAATCAACATTAAATGTTCTGTGTGAATTGGAAAGAATGTGTAATTGCAAATTTGTTGGTTGCTATGTCCTATGTATGTTACTTTTCTTGATGTGAATAAAAATATGGTTTTGTTATTTCTTTCTTTTCTTTTTTCAGAGTCTCACTCTGTCACCCAGGCTGGGGTGCAATGGTGCAGTCTTGGCTCACCACAACCTCTGCCTCCTGGGTACAAGCGATTTCCTGCCTCAGCCTCCCAAGTAGCTGGAATTGTAGGCGTGTGCCACTACACTTGGCTAATTTTTGTATTTTTAGTAGAGATGGGGTTTTGCCATGTTGGCCAGGCTGGACTTGAACTCCTGACCACAAGCAATCCACCCACCTTAGCTTCCCAGAGTGCTATGATTACAAGCATGGGCCACTCACTGGGCCTGGACTGGCCTTGTTTTTGCTGAGACCTCTCACCTTTATTCTGGGACTTATTTTCCCATTGTCTCTTACCCACTCCTGTTTAATTTGGATTATTTGTCGTGCAATTTCTTCTCAAGGTAAAGGTTTGTCCTGGAAGAGTTGCAGTTGCTTTTAAGAAATCTAAAAATATATGGCTATAGTTTATCTTCCCAATGCTTCTCAATTTTAGTAGCAGGAATATAATGTGGAGAATATATTTTACTTCCATTAACCTGAAGAGCAAGCCAACAGAGGCTGGGAATTCATGTTTATGAAATCAGAAAAGGTAGTTCTTTGCAGATGTTCTTTTTTTCACTTTTCAGTAATTAGTTGGCTTAGATATATAAAAGGGCTTATTTTCAAGTTCTAAAATGGTATATCAAAATTAATGATTCATCTTATCTTGAGAAGCAGTGGAGACTAGACGTTTTGCACTGGATATATCAAATAGTTACTGTATTTCTAGTTTTAAAGAATTGAAATCTGTTTTTCCCTTTGTTTCAGATCAAAGACTAGATGAAGATTTTAGGTGGTATCAAATGGGAAATTTTTCCAAATATTCATCTGTACAGGTATGTAAATTATAAATTCTACTTGGGAATACTCTCATGTGAAGTTGTCCACTGCACTTTGAAACTTGGCTTACAGCTTTGATTCTTGTAATGGGAAAGCTTGTTTTTGCTTCATGAAAGTAAGCTTTTTGTCAATAGAAATTGCCCTTTTCCTCCAACTAGAGTTGGAGCCTATATATTATATATGATACATAAAATGTCTGAGTTCTAAAATAATAATTCATTTGAGTTTTGAAATATCCTAAAATTATTTCTCAATATACATCTAGTTCTGTGTTTTAATTCTCTGCATTCTCATAAATTATGACAGAAGCATAAACTAATGCAAATTGTGAATAATATATGATTTTTTTAAAATATATTTTTTCCTTGGTTGTCATATCTTCTTATTTAAATATTGTGTTTAAAAATTGCTTAGCCAGAAAGATATAATTATTGGTGGAACTTGCATTACAGAATATTGAAAGGAAGACTGACTCATAGATTCGTGATGACTTTCTATGGAAGCAGTTACGAGTGTTTTGCTTTTACATAAATGAATTTTGTAATTAGAACTTAATATGGTTTGGATCTATGTCCCTGCCCAAATCTCATATTGAATTGTAATCTCCAGTGTTGGAGGAAGGGGCCAAGTGGAAGGTGATTGGATCATGGGGGCGAATTTCCCCTTTCTGTTCTCATGATAGTGAGTCAGTTCTCATGAGAGCTGGTGGTTTAAAATATGTAGCACCTCCCCATTCTCTCTCTTCCTCCTGCTCTGGCCATGTAAGACATTCCTGCCTCCCCTTCATTTTCTGCCATATTGAACATTTCCTGAGGCCTCCCCAGCCATGCTTCCTGTACAGCCTGCAGAACCATGAGCCAACTAAGCCTTTTTTTCTTTATAAATTGCCCAGTTTCAGCTATTTCTTTATAGCAGTGTGAGAATGGACTGATACAGAAAATTTGTACCAGTCCAAATTTTTAATACTGGTGAGGAGGCATTGCTATAAAGATACCATGAGCCAACTAAACTTTTTTACTTTATAAATTCCCCAGTCTCAGATATTTCTTTACAGCAGTGTGACGATAGACTGATACAGAAAATTTGTACCAGTGAGTGGGCATTGCTATATAGATACCTGAAAATGGGAAAGTGACTTTGGAACTGCATAATGGGCAGAGGTTGGAACAGTTTGGAGAGGTCAGAAGAAGACAGGACGATAAAGGAAAGTTTGGAACATACAAGAGACTTGTTGAATGGTCATAACCAAAATGCTGATAGTGATATAGACAAAGTCTAGGCTGAGGAGGTCTCAGATGGAGATGAGGAACTTACTGGGAACTAGAGTAAAAATCACTCTTGCTATATTCTAGAAAGAGTTAAGACTTGGGGGGCTGTTGAGAAGGGATGATTGTATTTTCCAGTGTGAAAAGGATATTAGATTTGGGAAGGGCTGAGGGTGAGTGATATGGTTTGGATATGTGTCCCCACCCAAACCTCATGTCGAACTGTAATCACCAGTGTTGTAGAAGAGGCCTGGTAGGAGGTGACTGGATCATGGGGGCGAATTTCCTCCATGCTGTTCTTGGTGATAGTGAGTGAGTTCATGAGATCTGCTTGTTTGTAAGGATGAAGTGCGCTCCACCCTTTTTCTGTCTTTTTCCTACTCCAGCCATGTGAGATGTGCCTGCTTTCCCTTCTCCTTCTGCTTTCTGAGAGTTTCCTGAGGCCTCCCCAGCCAGGCTTCCTATACAGCCTGTGGAGCAATTAGCCAATTAAACCTCTTTTCCTTATAAATTACCCAGTCTTAAGTATTTCTTTATAGCAGTGCAAGAATGGACTAATACAGAACTAAAATTGTTTTTAAGATATTAAAAGTAAAGAACTTGGTTTTAGTATTAAAAAGGAATAGTTTGGTTGGCTTGAGTACTTATTCTTATGGATACTTTTCAATGTGTGTTTAATATTTAGCTGACTGCTCTATGCTTTTATTTCCAAAGACCGGATTCAGAGTCCGCAGAGTCTTGAAGCTGTTTATTCACTATTTACTGTTGTAACCATGATATTGTTTTTATTATAATGTGTAACTTTTATGCATACTTAAGAACTGTAATAATTTAAGTGATAGAAAATCTTTCATATTCCAACAGCTTCTAAGTTTTGCTCATAATCTTAATGTTTTTGCTTCTGTTTAATGTCTTGTGGAATAGGCCTGAACAGAAGAGTAAAATTAATATATATATGTATACATACACACACATGCGCCAGATGACTCTGGGCATGGGTAATGCAGCATATCTGTGGAAAGCTATGGTTGAGTTGATTATGAAAGATAACAGATAGCATAGTGGTGACTTCAGCCTTTCAGATGTACCTGCATTATGCATTATGATTATACTAATTAAAGCCCAAGAATACCAGACCTAGCAGGGACACACCTTCCTTTACAAGAGTGTTCTCTTCAGAAGAATTATAAACTGCTTTACTTCTCTGAAGCTACCCATTTTTCTCTTATGTGTACTATTTTTGTTGCCGTGCAACCAAATCTTGATTCCTATCCCTTTAGTGATAACATACTGCTACTGCCTAAGATTCTTCTGCCATCCTCCATATCTTCAGAACATATTGCTGTTTCTAGACTCCCATCCCCAGGGACCTTGCTTTTCACTGCATGGTTTGCAGTAGTAAGAGAGGAGGTGATATGACAGCAAGAGAAGAAGATTAATCTGCTTTCTAGCAATAATGCCCATATCTTTGGCTATATGTAGTGCATCCCTAGAGGATTCTTTACCTCAGATATATTATTTTGGTTTCTGAAATATGTTCAGGAGAATTTTTTTTAAGTCTGTTCTCTGTATGTTTTGTAGTAAAGGAAGTGGAAGGAAACCATTATCAATGGGTATGTGGGATCCAGGAGCACTAGCTCATATATCTTATCAATGTAACTTAGTTGTTGCTACTGGCAGCAGAAATCCTTCATAAATTGGTATTTCCTTTTTTTTGTTTAGCCATGTTTCTCAGATGCCCAGAACCGTTCTGGTCTGTAGGCATTTGATAAATATTTGAGTTAATGAAACAACTATGTTCCTCTTCTTTTTCCTTCCCTCCTAACCACTTATCTTCCAACATGATTTTAACTCTATACATCAAATAAAGTGAAAGTCATGGAGATGTGAAAAGTCATGATCAACTTGGGAAATACAAGTAGTTCATCCTTTTTAGTTTTGTTTTTCAAGATAAAGTCCTAAAGTCCTTACAGTAGTTGCCATAAAATTGCCAGAAGTTGTGTTAAATGAACATACTTTATAAAGTCTTTTTGTGATGCTGGAAAAACAAAGCAACAGAAGTTTGATATTTATTTCTTTTATTTTAAGCTGGAGCTTGAAACGTGATTTTCTATATAAACTTTATTATGCGTAATGGTAAAAATTCTTTAATGCTATTATTACATAATGATCATTTAGGCTTGGTTTGGATCAAAGTAAGTTTTCTGAATTGCCTTAAGATAACAATTTTGAAGCTTATTGTTCTTAGGGGAATATGTTACCTTTATGATAACTAACTATACTTTACCTAAAATTTGAGGACGTAAGGTAAAAGTTGAAATCTTCCAGTGTGTTGAATAGTTTATATATTTAATATATTAAATATTTGGCTCATTATACTTTCATAATTCAGTCATCTCTTCCCTTCATTATAATTGTATATAACTTTTAAAAGATATTTTAAATAGCTGGTTTATTGAATGATTTTTTTCAGGGTTGTGAAATTCAGTTGTCTTGGGTTATTTTGTGTTTTCTGTATAAGTAAAAAGTATTTCAAGTGGCATTACTCTCTGAAGTATAGTAGGAGGCACTAGGTGACAAATATTCAAGATACGAAAATGATTTTATTCAAAAAAGCTAGTGGAAAATTTCCCTTTTTTCCCAGTCCTTTATTATATATATATTTTTTCTTGAATACTTGCTTTTTTCTTTTTTTCATATCCTGGCTAATTGAATCCTCTTTGTTACCTGTGCCACACCAGTACATGTGTCTACTGAGGGGGCTAAGGTTAGTGCTTTAGTCTCTTGGTACTTGCTGAGGGGACAGTATGAAATATTAAAAATAAGTTTATTTTTTCCAAAAGCTTGCCTAAAAATATTGTCTTCTTCTGGCTTGGGAATTCTCTTTCTACCTATTACCCCTTGTACCCAAAATTAAAACAAAAAATATTGAGGTAGTCTGCTGGGGGAAAACAGAAGATACATAAGCCAGAATAAAAAGAAAGGAAGGAATACTTATAAAAGCATAGTGCCAAAGAGGCTATGGAGGGGAAAGGCATCATAGTCCAAATATATTCACTTATTCAACAAACATTAATTTACTCATTCAATGAATTTTGAATTCATGCCTATGCTAGGTAAGCTCTGGGGACGGAACTATGAATAACATAGACAAAGGATCCTTCTGCGGTAGAAGATATATGAATGAATGAAAGAGATGTGAATGAGTGAATGAAGTAGTTAAAATTGTAGTATCCTATGAAAGAAATAGCAAGGTGCTGAGATAGAGGTTAATATGTATGTTGCTGTGGAGCTGGTGATGGTAGAGATGTATTTTTGATAGAAAGGTCATAGAAGGCCTTTCTAAGGCAGTAACATTCAAGTTGGGACAGAAAAGAAAGATTGAGCCAAAGAATGTACCAAGAAGGAACCTTGAGGCTGGAAAGAATTTGACATGTCTTATACAACGTATAGGAGGTTGTGCCAACTGTCATCAGATAACAGTTATTTGAAAATTACATTAAAGAAATGGCAAGGCTACTCCTATTGCTCATGAGTTAACAAACGTAAGATTCAATAGATAAAATATAACAATTCAGTACTGTTTGTTGAATCACATTATTAACTTTCTAGACCACGACTGTCCATTAGTTCTTTCTCTGATGATAGAATTGCTGTATAATTCTGCACTGTCCAGTATTGTAGCCAATAGATACATGGGGCATTTGTCCACTTGAACTTAGGCTAATGCA